ACCGGCAGTTGGTTTCTGGGTGTCTCTTCTCTCAGGTTAACCGTGTCTCAGCCCTTGAGTTTGCTACAGTCAGAGAATGCAGTTGTTAGAGAGCTGCTGCTGCTCTGGGGTACTATTACAGCTTGTTTTCCCTTTGAAATAAGCTGAGAGGAGGGGATGTGCTGAATACTTTGCTGTGTTGATGCCTGGAAACCATCTTGGTTCTTCCTTAATCTTGAATGTGTTTTGTTTCCTGTTTCAGATTTAATCTGTCATCCTATTTTAGCAACTTTCCCTCAACTCATGGATCAGCCAGATCTGATGGATGCACTTCGGGTACGTTATCTACGTAGCATTCAGTTGCATCTGCTGTGACAGGACCTCCAGATAGTTTGCAAATTTTGAGCCTGTGAAAAGATAAATGGAAAAGCCAAACAGCAGAGCAGTTTTCTAACTGTTCCATGTAAGTGCAGATCTCTTATGTCTCAGTGCCTTCACAATTGCAAGAGAACGCTCGAGTACATTCAAAGGGATGCAAAGACATGAATTGGCTGGTTTGAACACTGCTGGCCACGTAGCCACAGCAAGAGTGCTGAGGGGGATGAGCTGTCAGAATGTTTGTCTGGCTTCTAGGACCGTGCTGCTTTCATGACAGATAGGAGCTGATTTGGCTTCTGACTGGCAGGACAGTGCTCACCATATTTACACCGCAGTCCCACACAGGTGTCCTAGTACCAGCCAACAACAGCTGAGTTATTTCTGCCTGAAGGACACTGCTGTTAGAAGCTGCCTGCCCTTGGGGCTGGGATCCGTTTCCCCGCCCTTGTAGGGTAGAAGAAAATCAACCAAAAGCAGATCCCCTTGATTAAGTTTGCGTGGTTCTGAAATAGTTTCAAATCTCCAAATCCTTGCATCTGTAAAATTTGGTGCAGTGGCTTTTTGCGTGAATCAACTAAACTGGCACAAGGGAGGAATGGGGAACATGTGGGAGGTGGAACTGCAACAGGAGCTTAAACTGCTGTGGGAATGTAACAAGACATTTTTGCAGCTAAAAATGGAATTGCTTGAGATCTCCACAATCTCAGTCTGATTTCACATTTCATTTCATTTTAGAGTGCTTGGGCAGACAGAGAAAGAACATTGAAGAGATATGAGAAGGTAATAAATTACAGGTTTTTCGCTGACATGTATTCAGTCTAATTTGAACTAGAAGCTGTCAGTGTTATTTCTCATTAACTTTTCCCCTCACCACATATTTATTTAGAAAATAGATATGTAGATATGCTAAATGCAGTTCTTAACATTTCTTACCCATAACAGCAAACAAGGAGAAAGAATATGAAATTAACCTGTAACTTTTTAACTCAGTGTTTGTATAGGGTTGTTGATGGGGAAGCTACTATAGATTCATACCCAAAGCGCAGCTCCCTTGCATGATGAGCTTTTAACACTTGACTGGTAAAAACTTTCAACTGGTACAAAAGGGGCCATGTGTGTCCATGAAATAATCTTTCCCGCTTCAACCTCTGAGCTCTGGTCCTCCCACAGTCTGCCTAGAAAAAGGGCCCCAAAGTCTGCAAATCTCCCTATTTCCAATAGTTGTCATCTCCCGTTTTGGCACGTGAACTGAACTGGCCGTGTCACCAGGCTTACCTGTACCTTCTCCTACCCTCTGCACAAAGAGAAGCTGTAGATAACAGACAGAAGCTGTAGATAACAGACAGAAGCTGTAGATAAGAGACAGGCATTAGCTCTCGATCCACAACACTTCGCTTCTTGGGAGCAGCAGCAGGATATTTCATTCATCGTGCGTGCTACTGAACAGATACCCATGGAGATCTTTGCGTTTATGCAAACAAAACTAAACGCTGTTGAGTCAGAATTAGTTTTTCAAGGCCACTCATCCAAAATGAGAGCTGATCAGCTCAAAGAATTAGTAACTCCTTGGTATCCCAGAAGCATCCAGTTTTACCTGATTTATCAGGTGCCACTCCCACAGTAGGATTGCTGCCTGGCGATTTATTACTCCTCGCTCAGCTGCTCAATCTCCTGCTGAGATGTGAACTGTTCAATGCACTCACGTTTCTGGAGGAGTCTCGGTGGTCAGTGAGTTTTCCAGGAGGCAGTGCTCTCTGTGTGTTCTTGCACGAAGGAGTTTTTTGTGTGTCTCTGGAAAATGAGGCATCCAAATCTTGCCTAGTTAAAGCGGTCTAGATCTTCCAGTGTTTGACCAGGCTGATTCCTAGTCTCTGGGTTTTGTAAACTGGTCTTTACAGAGGAGAGCATAATTCTCGCTACACGCAGAATATCCTGTCAAATTGTGAAATAACAGCACTTACAGTGTGGCCTTACCTCCTGTGAGGAGCCACGTGCTGCAACTCTCCGCCAAGGGCAGCCCAGAAACAAACGGTGTTTGGGCTTCCAAGGTGGGGAGGACTTGATATTTCCCTGGCAGCCATGACAAACAGTCTTGATCTGAACTGGCAGACGCTGTGGGTGACAGCTGTCACACGCTGGTGTTAGGAAGAAGCATAAATACTCCATGAGCAAAGGGCTCTTGGTGGGCGTTATACAGATTGCCCTTTTGTAGTAACACCAGTGGGATTTGGCTGCGTATCGCTGCTCTTGGTTGTTTGGAAGAGCAGGTGGGCTGTAGAGCAGATTTGCTGAGCTATAGTTCCTGTAGTGTAGTTCTCGATAGTGAGTGTGAGGCTTGTCTGAGCTAACTGATGTTTGTTTAGGAAGGTCACGTCTCCTCCCGTTGTTATCCTGGGAACCAGGGGTTGGCTGAATGTTTTCTTGTCTGTTTTTTTGTTTGTTTGGTTTTTTTTCCTGTGTACGTGCCCTACTATAGAAGTGCTTGGCAATACCACATGTTTGCACTGAAGTGTTTCCAAATTTTCTTCTCTGCAGAGAGATCGAGAGTTTCTGAAGTCTCTATTTGTCCTGGTGTACCATGACTCCGTCTTCCCTCTCCTCCAGTCCACTTTCCTCCCCAGCTACAAGTGGGCTGAGGAAGAGTCTGAAGCATCACGCTGGAAGGCGATTGCTGACTTTTTGAAAAAGAGCCAAGAGAATGATGGTGCACTTCAGTATCTCCTGTCAGCAGAAAACACTCACAAAGCTTTTGATATCTCAGAGCTGGCTTATGATTTCTTAGGTGAAGTGAGGACAGACAGTCCTGGGGCATGAATGGATTATAGAAGAACAATTCGGGCTATATAAGAATGGGATAACAATATAAATAAATTCTTACCAAAGAGAAACTGTGATGAATATTTTAATATGTCTAACATTTTGAGAGACACTAAAATTATCAGTTTAACTAATGGGAATGATATTTTAAATTTTTGGCTTTGCAATGTTAGATAAGGCTGTGGTTGTCTGTTACTACATGTACCTGTTGTAGTGACATCGAGTGTCGTATTTTTGCCCAAGTGGAGCCAGTGTGGAGGCAGCATTCTTCTCCCTTTTGTGCAGCTTCCAATTAATTTTCAATTTTGTTTGAATCAAAGTGAACAAGAGAGTCTTTGTCCCAGTACCCCAGTAGACTGGTACCAGGCAAAAAAAATAGCAATGATCTTTAAGAATGCTGCTAAGCAAGGACAGCCAGGTTAGGAAAAAAAAAAATCATCTCCTGCCCAATCAGTGGACAGTAGGTTGCTCTGTATTTAGACTGTTTTACTGTGTTTTTTTCCCACTCAGGAAAAGGTTGGGTTTTATAGGAATGTGCTTAACCCACCTAATATAAACAAAAGCTAGTGAGGATTCAGGGCACGACGCATTTCCTCTGTGCACGGCTGTGCCACACGGCAGCTCCCTCTGTGCTGGGGGCAGGCTCATGAGCTGTGGGATGTTGCTTGCAGCGACCGGGATGTTAAAGGCTTCTTTCCCCTGAGCCCTTTGTACCCACAGACTGTATTTGCTGCCCGCTCCTGCCAGGAAGTTCCTAATCCAATTTCGGGGCTGGACTGTCTGGATGCTTTCCGCACAGCGATGTTGCCACCCTGTCCAATGAGGTAGGCAGGCACTGAGTCGCACGTAGATTTACGTCTGAACCAGGCACTAGTGTCTGGTGTGAAATGTTTTAAAACGTGATCTTTCAAAGAGCACAGCACATTTCCTGGAGCCTGAAGCCAGCTCCCACTGACAGCATTTGTAAATTGGAGCCTCCAGAAATGCCACCAAACACAGAAATGCCACCTCTCCCCTTGCTGCGGAGTATTGCCCAAGTCAAGAGAGGACAGAATGACTTCACTAGGCCATGAGGCAGAGATGCCACTTTCAACCTTTCATCCTGCCAGTTATCTGACAGTTACGGCAGTGGGAGGCAGAGTCCTCTGGAAAAAACAGTGCAAGCCTGTCGAATCCAAAGCACATCTGCCAGGAGGGAGAAATCGAAGCTGTCCCGGAAGCTGTCCTTCAGACCTTTCTGGACACTTAGGAGCATTCAGGCAAACCCTCCTGTCTTTTAATGCTATGCTGAATTGTCTGTAAAAAAAAAACTGGTTAGCTCCAAGTTGTTTTTGAAGGCTGGACATGCCCAGTGGGCGTGGAGGAGTCCGATGTGAACATAGAGCAGAAACCTGAACAGAAAGGCAAGGAGGTAACAAAAGTGGAAGGGAAAATATGTCAGGCTTTTAAGAGTGCTGAGGACAAAAACTGATTGCAGGAAATGTTTCTGCCCCACTGTGGTAAAAGATTTATTCACTAGTTTTTGCTCTTTAGCAAAGTTAGTTCAATGTTAAAGACATGGAATTGATTGTGTGCCAGTGGCGGGGCCAGGGTCCCATTGCTCTCCTGTACTGGTGTTGGCAGCAGGGCGTGTGAACCCTGAGCAATAACCAGAGTTCAGCTCAGCACTCCTTCAGCTGGAGGAAGCGACGTGGTGCCAGTTTGGGCTGGTTTCTGCGATTACGTCTCTGCGGGTGTGTCAGTTAAAACCCCAGACAGGAGTGGTGCAGCGCAGGCAAATGTGAGCGGAGCAGAGACGGAGCGGTTGTGGCATCAGCTGAGAAGAGATGGCCTCGGTGGGTCCCCCTGCAGCCTCCACACAGCCTGCCTTGCCCTCCGGACTTGCCGTCTTCAAAACCGTCCCCTACGCATTCATCCTACCCGAGATAGTGAGTATGCCGGGCTCTGCTGCGTTACCGCACCCTGCTAAGGGCTCTAGTGAATCTAAAAAACTGGGAGCAGCCCCCAAAATGATCCTGAGGACTGTGTTAATGGGAAATATCGTGTCTTCTTTCAGTTTAAGCTGAATGCACAAAGGTGGTCTTCACAACGCGTTGTTTTGAAACACCTGGAGGACAAGATACCCTCCAGCTCCAGCCCAGAGCCTGTGCAAGGGGCACCAGCTGCCATGGCGCTGGGAGATGCTGAAGCACTCACAGTGCCTCCAGGGCAGAAGCAGTTCTAGTTACTGCATAGAAATTGCTTGGAAAAATCAAAGGAATTTCACTCTCTGTATTAAATCGTTCCAGGGGCTGGAATGCAATTGAGTGTCTTGTAATGTGTGGCATTCCATGAATCCTTCAATTGCTTATGAGTCCAGAGGGCATCTGGGTGGACTGGCTGAAATAACCGCTGGTGTACTTTGACATGACACAGTGCCAGTGCCCCACACCGCCCACAGCCAAAGGCACAATCACTGTGGCTGGGCTTTGCTGAGAGCTGCCCGTGTGACTGTAAATCAGGGGGAGGGTCATCTGCCAGCGCTGGAACGGCACAGGGTGACATGAGCTTATCCGGATCACCCATATACTGTGTGCAGTAAATACTTGAGCTGAATCCCGCATAAGCGACTCACTCTGGGCTGGTGCGTGCAGTCAGGAGGAGACTTCCTCATGCCACGATTTCAAGCCCAGGAGATTAACACGCAGGCAGGGCTGGGCTGCTGCAACCATATGCCAGATAAAAGTAGATTTTCTGGCTTCTCCGCCAAAGCCCTTGGAGGGAGATGTTTCTTTGCGTTGAACACAGCAGCAAACCTTTCCCTTTTGTCAGAAATGTTTTGCGATGTTTCCTAAGAGCATTTAAGGAAACTCGTGCCGGCTTGTGGTGCTGCTGTCATGCCGGGGTGCTCCAGGAGGCTGGTCCATGCTGCCCAAAGGCACAGGGCTTCCAGCAGCTGGCTGAGAAGGGATGCAGGGAGGAGAAGGGCCTTTCTCCATCCCATGCTTATTGGAGATGCCTGTGTTTGTCCCCGGCAGCTCTGCGGGACCTGGGTGTGGATCCTTGTTGCTGCTACTTCTGTTGCCTTCCCGCTGCTGCAGGGATGGGTGATGTACGTGTCCCTCAGCTCCTGCCTCATCTCCCTGCTGCTCCTCTTGGGCTACCTCTTCAGCTTTCACAAAAACAGCGAGAACTGGAAAGTGCTGGTAAGGAGGGGTCGGGACAGCGGCAGATGGCGGCAGCCGGGGGGTGGCGCCCAGACTGACCC